TCAGGGCCTCGGTCTGCCTGCACTGACTGGCAGCCACGGCTCTCCAGGGTTTCAGGAAAGCCCCCCCCCCGAGATGCGGGAGACCTTCTGCATGCAGCGCAGGTGCCATGGGCCTTCCCTCAAGTCCTTGTGATGATGATGATGATGATAATAATTTATTTATATCCCTCCCTCCCCAGCCGAAGCCAGGCTCAGAGAGGCTAACAACAGTAAAATAATACAGCATCTAAAATCATTTCATTACAGTGGTACCTCGGGTTAAGTACTTAATTTGCTCCGGAGGTCCATTCTTAACCTGAAGCGCCACTTTAGCTAATGGGGCCTCCCGCTGCTGCCGCGCAATTTCTGTTCTCATCCTGAAGCAAAGTTCTTAACCCGAGGGACTATTTCTGTGTTAGTGGAGTCTGTAACCTGAAGCGTCTATAACCCGAGGTACCACTGTATAATCACAGGGAAAGTTCTGCCCTTCTGCATGCCCGGCAGATGATCGGCCGCAGAGTCACACCCCAGCCCTGCATCACACCCACAGGTATCTCCCCCCACATCCTTCCCTCTAACACTTGGGACGACCACCAGTTTGCCCCAGTCCAAATGCCTTCTGAACTGGATTCTGACACACAATGGCAATTAGCCACGATTGTTCTGTTCTCCCTCTGAATTGTAAGTGGGGAGAGTTCTGCTTTTGCACTCATGGGGCTTCCTTTTTGGGGTGACTGGTTGGCCACTGTGGGAACAGGAGGCTGAGGAAGAGGAGTCCCCTTTGGCCTGATCCAGAGAGTTTTAAATACCGGCGTGTGTGTTTTAAGCTCATAATGTAGATTCCAAGTCCTTCCAACTTTGCGTTCCCAGGCGTCCTCGGACTACAACTCCCATCACCCACGACAACTGAACTGACGCAGGACGATGGGAATTGTAGTCTCACAGCATCCGGGCAGCCAAGGGGGAAGAACTCCAGCCTGGATTATATCTGGCGTAAACCATAGCTACTTTCGCGCGGTCAAGATTGGATCATGCCCTGCGCCTAAACAAGGACCAGGATTCATCAGCATCAGTGGGGCTGACCACCCCATGGAAGCAAAAAAAAGAGAGAATTACACACAAAAGGACATCCATCCCTCTGGAACCTCCCCGATTAACACAATTTCTTCTAGATGCCTTTATTTCAGAGTAATTCCCCCCCCCCAAGTTGGTCTCCACCCCCCCTTCTCCCCTTAAATTGGCTTCAATAGAAAGCTCTCTTTCCGGTGCTGCTCAGCCCCAGAGAATAACTCAGAAAAACCACCCAAGGGAGGAGGCCTCAGGGAAGTGGGGGGGGGGTTGGGGGGAGAGAAGCAGAAACCCATTTTGGCTCGCTTTGAGGGGTCCCCCTCTCTCCCTGCATTGCAGAGGGGTGGACTAGATGGCTCTGGGGGTCCCTTCCAATTCTGAGGTTCTACGAATCCCCTCCCTGCCCCCTCCCGCATTTGAAAATCCCAATTTCTCTCCTTTTCCCCTCCAGGCTATGCAAAGAGGCTGCTGCTCCTCCCCCTCCCCCTTCTTTTTAATTATAAGGAATGTGGTCACAGAGGGGAGGAGCTTGACAACTCAGCTCCCCCCCCATGCAAAAATTGAGTGGGATCTCAGCCAATGAAGGGCCCAGAGATTTCTACACACACACACACAATAATTCAGTCTCTCCCTCCCCAACACACACACAGACACACACAGAGCTTTCTTCAAAAGAGGATTTTTTTTTTGGGGGGGGGAGATTATAGCATTTTAAAGAGAAATACAGTTTGGGACCCCCCACCCCATCAGAAGACACCTTTTTCCTTTTAGCAAGGGGCTTGAAATATTGCAATAATGGGGCTGCCTCCAATGCTAGCCGTGCTCATGAGTAGACCTACCAGGTTGTATTCCAACTCGGAGAATTGTGGATTTGCAAGGGACCCCTAAAGGTCTTCTAGTCCAGCCCCTTGCAATCCAGCCTCTTTAAAAATCTCCAGTGAAGGAGAGTCCACGCCTTACGCCTTCCATAGGAGTCCCTTTCACAGCCAAACAGCTCAGTTCTACTCAAGAGTAGACCCACCAAAATCGGCGGACCCAAGTTAGTGATTTGTGTGTTCCAATTCAATGGGCTTTACTCGGGACTAGCACTGAACCCCATCCAATGAAATTGACGGAAATGGCTGTATTAGGTCCATTAATTCCAATGGGTCTACTCAGAGTAAGAGGGTATCAGACCATAAAGAGAGCCTGCTGGGTCAGGGCAATGACCCATCCGGCCTCGGAGGGGCCAACCAGATGCTCCTTTTGGCAAACCCGCTGGCAGAATCTGAACTCAAGACTCCTTTCCACTGCTGCGCATTCAGGAGCATTGCTGCCTCCAAGTTGTTTAGGCAGACAAAAGCCACTGGGGCAAACAGCAGCCCCAGATGGGCTCCTCCTCCTCCATTAATTCATCCAGTCCTCTTTCAAAGCCATCACTGCCTCTGGCAGCAGGGAGTTCCACAGGTTAACCATGCACCATGTGATCCTCTCACAGACGGCTTCCGAGGACCAGAGAGAGTCCTCATTATCCTAAAGTCAAGGACGTCGCCGCCACATATCCCCCCCCCCCAAGAATCTGCACCAGGCCCAAAGCCGCCTTGCCCCCAATCCTGCCAGCCTTTGTGGCGTCCCAGGGTAGACTGCCACTGAAAGGGGAGGCTCTATTAGCATGCTGCAGTGGCGCAAGGAACCTTCATCTTCCTCCGTCCCACAGCAGAAGTGGCCCAAGGCAGACATCCCCGGCCCCGCTCAGCTCCACTCTGCTGGCCTTCTGCAAGCCAAGCACCTTCCCTCTTTCTTTTCAAGGTTTCACCCACCACTGTCCACCTAGTTCAAGCCCAACAGACTCCAGAACAGGCCCCAGAGCTTCTGTACACACAGCACATAGAGGGCTTGGTTAGGGTTAGGGTTAGTGTGGTGTAGTGGTTAGAGCATCAGACTAGGGCCCTAAACACAAGAGGGCTTGAACCACGAATAACAGCTCAGCAGGTAGAGCATGAAACTCTTAATCTCAGGGTTCTGGGTTCGAGTCCATGGTAGGGCGAAAGATTCCTGCACTGCAGCGGGTTGGTCTAGATGACCCTCGTGGTCCCTTCTAACTCTAAGACATCTTCCCACTTGGCCCTGGGTGCGAATTTGGGCCCAGTCTCTATCCTTCTCGGCCTGACCTACCTGGCAAGGTTGTTGTGGGGGTTAAATGAGGAGGGGGGAGACCCAGGCATGCTCAGCTCAGAGAACAAAAGGAGGGATATCAAGGCAAGAGATGAGGCGGGTAAAGGGGTGGGGAACCGACGCCCCCCCCGCAATGCTGCCGAACTACAACGCCCCCCTTCCACCCCCAGGAGTTGTGGGGAGTGCCAAAGCTCCCCCCCCAACAAGCCCTTTGCAACCGCATCCCACCAGGCTGGGGGGGCGAGGCGCTCAGCCCCCAACCCGAATCTGCAGAGAGAAGACGGCGGAGGTACGGCCATCAGCGCTGATTCAACTGCCCCCCAGCGCCCCCCAAACCGGCACCAGGCGCTCTCGCCACCCCCTCCCTCATTTTCTCTCTCTTCCAGCCCCCCACCCGCCCCCCAAGTATGGGTCACGACCAGCTCCATCCTCGCTTGCAACGAGCCACAAGTCCATCCTCCACACCAACAGCGCCCCCCAGGACCAAATCTTCTCCGGCGTGCGCCTTGGAAAGAATTCTCCCCCTCCGGCTGGATTGGGAGGCGGGGGGGGGGAGGTTTGGGTGCCTGGGAAATCCCCCCCCATCCCAACCTCTTCCCCCTCCCCCTCCCCCCCCACTTCACATCTCCTCCCCCTGACATGTTTTTAACTTTCCTTCAGGCTCCAAAAATGAAAAGGGGAGGGGAAAAAACACATTTCCCTCCGCCTCCTCCCACTGGGATCCCTCAAACGTCGCCCCCCCCCCGCGCACCCTGATCGAGTCACTTTCACTTTTTCCATCTCTCTCTCTCTCTCTGCCCCCCCCCCACTCGCAAATGAAACCCTTTAAAGCCCTTTCGGCCTGAACTTTTTCCCCACATCAGCCAAAAAACCCCCAGAGTTTGGCTTACAAATGTGGGGCGGGTGTGAGATGGAAGGAGGGAGGTGGGCTCTGTTTTGGGGGTGGGTGGGGAGGGCTGCTGGCTCGTCTCTCTCTCCGGATGGAGGTTACTCGCGAGTCAGGATCTCCTCCACCACCGCCCCGCAATCGCACAGAGTTCAAGGCTCCTTCCTCGCGAGTAACGCGGTCTTTCTAAGGCTGCGGATTGCCTGGGAGCGAGGAGGATCGGGAGAAAACGTGGCTGGATCCGCCGCCTTCCTCGCCCACGATGCGCGAGCCTAGAGGACCGATCCACCGCTCTGATCCCGATCCTACTTTTTTGGGAGGGGGAGTGGGGGGCTTCATCCAGTTAACTTCGCCCTCGCCTTCCAAACAGGCCCGATCCTCCCCCCCCCCCGATCCTTTAATGCTCGTTTTGCTCCCGCCCCGGCCGCAGAATCGGGGCCCCCGTTTTTAAAATACCTCTCCGCCCAAAAAACCATCAGCTTCATCGGAGTTTCCCCTCCTGTTTACACCCGTTGCAAATCCGAAGCGGGGCCGGGAGCGACTCTCATTCCTTCCTTCCGCCCCCCCCCAACTCCCCTCCTCGGAAGCAACGGCGCTCATCCCCCCATTTCAATCCGACTGCACCCCCTTTCCACGATGAGCATTGCAAATCCAGACACCCCCCCAAAAGAAACAACAACCACCCGTGGGAACGCCTCTCTCCTTTCTGGGGGGGGGTCCTGGGATCCGCTCCACACTTTTCCTAAATCTCTCCCCCCTTCCAAGTTTTTCTCCCCGGAGGGGAGCGAAAATGCTCGCCTCTCCCCGGCGCGCCACGAACGGAACAAGCCAGCCTCGGTTCTGCGCTGCCGTCGAGGCGCAAAACAAGCGCGAGGAAAGTCTCTCTCCGCTCCGAATCCGGCTCCGGATTTACCTTGGGCGAAAGCGGCGTCGGCTCCCGTGAAGACCCACAGCACGGCCAGGACCAGCATCGCTCCCGGAGGGCCGGCCGGGGTCCGTCGCTCGCTCGGGGCTCCGTCGTCCGCCCAGCAGCTCCGCCACCGCCGCCACCAGCAAGTCCGGCGGGGGACCCGCTCCGCTCCGGCTCCGGCGCCTCTCCTGGTAGCACAAAAGGCGGAGGAAGGAGGAGGAGGAGGAGGAGGAGAGAGGGAGGGAGGGAGGGAGGCAGAGAGGAGGGAGGCAGAGAGGGAAGAAGGAGCGCGCCGGGAACCACTTTGGGATGGAGGGAGGAGGAGGAGAGAGCGAAGCAGGCAGCGCCGGGGGAAGGGAGAGAGGCGCTCCGGATTGGCCTCCGGGGGAGGAGCGGGCGGAGGAGGCGCCGAGGCGCAACCCGCTTCTCCGGCCAACTTGGGCAAAGTTCTGGCACGTGTGGACGCGGCTCGGCAGGGGAGGGCCCGATCCGGATTTACTCCCGTGTAAAGGCTCCTCAGAGGGACGCGGGTGGTGCTGTGGGTTAAACCACAGAGCCTAGGACTTGCTGATCAGAAGGTCGGCGGTTCGAATCCCCATGACAGGCTGAACTCCCTGTCCCAGCTCCTGCCAACCTAGCAGTTCGAAAGCACGCCAGCGCAAGTAGATAAATAGGTATTGCTCCAGTGGGAAAGTAAATGGCGTTTCCGTGCGCTGCTCTGGTTTGCCAGAAGCGGCTTAGTCCTGCTGGCCTCATGACCCGGAAGCTGTACGCCGGCTCCCTCGGCCAGTAAAGCGAGATGAGCGCCGCAACCCCAGAGTCGGCCACGACTGGACCTAATGGTCAGGGGTCCCTTTACCTTTAAAGGCTCCTCAGGCGTAGGCCTTACAGATGGGGCTGGTGGGGACGGCGGCGTTCTCCAACCCGCCAGATGTGAGAATGACAGAAGTGAAGAGACCCTAAGAGTCGTCCAGGCCAGCCTCATGGAAATGCCATGTGGCTGGATGGCAAAGGAGCGGAGGGACGATGAATTCAGCCTCTGGGGTGGTCGACTTGGGCTGGCAGCCGCTGGCCTGGGTTCCAGGTGGCGCTGATGGTCCTTCCCTGCTTGGAAGCTGGGGCTTTCTGTGTGGGAAGCAGATATTCTGCCTGCTGAGTTGCACCTTCTAAAGAAATAAAGTAAAATTCTAGTCCTCATGGTTCTAAGTAAAGGGCTGGTTTGAACAGGAGCCTAGGAAGCTGCCTTCCCGGCTGGGAGGAAATCCCATGGATCTCAATGGCAGCTACTCCTGAGTAAGCCTGAATGTTCGCCAGCAGGGAGCGTGGGGCATGTCCAATTCTCTGTGGACAAAGCGCTCCCTGTGCAGATCAGCTGAGGACCAGTCTGATGACTGGCAGGAAGGAATCCTAGCAAAACAGGAAAACCAGGCCTACGTTTCAAGGGTCAAGGTTCGCCTTCCTGGCCCATTTGGATCCAGAACTGGCCTCCGCCGTCACTTACGGACTCATTGTTAAAACCGTGTTTATGGAAGACAATCTTACTTGGCTATGAGGGATCGCCAAAGAAGAACTTGAGAGCAAAGTACCTTCTTGATGTTTGTTTGTTTATTACATGACTAAAAGGTAACGGTAAAGGGACCCCTGACCATTAGGTCCAGTCGTGGCTGACTCTAGGGTTTCGGTGCTCATCTCACTTTACTGGCCAAGGGAGCCGGCGTACAGCTTCTGCGTCATGTGGCCAGCATGACTGAGCCGCTTCTGGCGAACCAGAACAGCGCACGGAAATGCATTTACCTTCCCGCCGGAGCGGTACCTATTTATCTACTTGCACTTTGTGCTTTCAAACTGCTAGGTTGGCAGGAGCAGGGACCGAGCAATAGGAGCTCACCCGTCGTGGGGATTCGAACCGCCAACCTTCTGATCGGCAAGTCCTAGGCTCTGTGGTTTAACCCACAGTGGCACCTGCGCCCCTATTACATGACTTGTTGTTGTTTAGTTGTTTAGTCATGTCCGACTCTTCGTGACCCCATGGACCAGAGCACGCCAGGCACTCCTGTCTTCATTACCTGACTACTCCACCTTTTTCCTCCAAGCAGTTCAAGGCGGCCTACAGTCTTCTCCCCTCACTCATTTTATCCTCTCAACAGTCCTGTGAGGTGGGTGAGGGACTGGTCCAAAGTCACCACACTGAGCTTCATGGCCGTTGGGACCTGGGTCTCTCCTAGATCTTAGCTCAACACCCTAACCACTACACTGCACTGTCTTGCTTGGAGCGGGTGGCAACCAGACATAGGGGTTCAAGTCCAGGTTCCTAGGCCCATTTACTTGAGAGTAAAGCTCCTTGATTTGACTTGATCAGAAGGTTTGTGAGCTTTTTTTGGGGGGGGAGGGAGAAACCATGGTTACATTCCTGAGTGAGTTTCCTGGGAGTAAGCCGTCTCCCCCTACACATTTAAAAGACGCCTGGGATCTGGCTCTGGAGCCCCGTGTCGCTTTCAGACAGGAGTTCCCCGGATCATTTGGGGACGGGTGTCCAGGCGCCATCTGGGTTGCCGAAATCTGTCTGAGAAGTTTAGTGGTGATGGGCGTCTCTTGACGGCTCTCCAGGCATCTCTGAATCTCCTCCAGAGGCCGAAGGAGGCAGAGAATTAAGACATTTGGCACAGACAAAGGTTTCCTCAAGCTGAAGGCAATTCAAAGTTTATTTCCCTCCTTGCAAAGGCAGTTCTCTCGCTCTCTCTCTGACCTCCCAGAGGGGTTCCTGCACAACCTTTCGGGTACTTTGCCGCTGGGTTTTCACCTCAAAGGGGCTTCCCTGGTTCTGGGACCAGAGGCCCTGTGAACTGCGCAGCTCCTGGAGGCAACTGGAGGGTGACTGGGATGCGCATGGCGAGAGCATCATCGTCCAGTATATCTGAAGGAGCATCTCCACTCCCATCGTTCTACCCAGACACTGAGGTCCAGCGTGGAGGGCATTCTGGCGGTTCCCTCACTGTGAGAAGCCAAGTTACAGTGGTACCTCGGGTTACAGACGCTTCAAGTTACAGACTCCGCTAACCCAGAAATAGTACCTCGGGTTAATAACTTTGCTTCAGGATGAAAACAGAAATCGTGCTCTGGCAGCGCGGCGGCAGCAGGAGACCCCATTAACTAAAGTGGTTCTTCAGGTTAAGAACAGTTTCAGGTTAAGAACAGACCTCTGGAACGAATTAAGTACTTAACCTGCAGTACCACTGTACAGGGAACCAGGCAGAGGGCCTTCTCGGTAGTGGCACCCGCCCTGTGGAACTCCCTCCCATCAGATGTCAAAGAGATAAACAACTACCAGATTTTTAGAAGACATCTGAAGGCAGCCCTGTTTAGGGAAGCTTTAAATGTTTGATGCATTACGGTATTTTAATATTTTGTTGGAAGCCACCCAGAGTGGCTGGGGAAGCCCAGCCGGATGGGCGGGGTATAAATGATAAATTATTATTATTATTATTATTATTATTATTATTATTATTATTATTAAGCCTGTGCAAAGTATCTCACATCTGGGAGAGGAAAAGGCCAGATTTTAAGGCCCACCCCTTCTCTCCTTGCAGAGAGAGAGCGCCTGTGGCCCCCTTCTTACCTGGGCAATCTCATCCACAGGTGGGTCTCCCTGAAGGAGCATCTCCACCCACCCAGCTTGGACCCAGAGGGCCTCCTTTGAGGGTCTTCGACTGGGTCCCTCCCTGCAAGAAGTGAAGTTCCAGGGAAGCAGGCGGCCAGATGTGGAGGAGATAAAGAGTTACATCATTTTTAAAAGACACCCGAAGGTCCAGGGATGTTTTTAGTGTGTGATGTTGTATTGTGTTTTTAGTATTTCTTGCAGGGAGCTGCCCCAAGTCAGGCCTTGAGTGGAAAGACACCCGCCCCCTCGCACACACCCACACACAGGTTGTGTGTTCAGTACGACAAGCCACCACAAATCTGAGCCGTGCCAACGGGGCGCTGATGTTGGCAGAGGGCCAGCATGCCAGTCAGCACTGTTCCCCACTAGTGGAGGACCGCTCCCCACAAAACCCCCCACCACCACAACACTAGATTCCTGCATCTGCCCTTCCCTGTGTTTCCATTTGGACCCATCCCAAAGTTCTGCCCGCCACCTGCCTAGCTGCTTGGCATATAATTTATGTCCCACCTTTTGCCCAAGAAGCTCAAGGTGCCAGGCGAGGTTCTCCCCATCTGATCCCCATAACCCCCCCCCGAAGTCAGTCTGAGAGGCAGTGACCTGCCCCAGCTTCACTCATGGCCAGTGAGGATTTGAACCCCGGACTCCTGGGTCCCAGCCCGGCGCTCTGACCACTAGGCGACAGTGCGCCACGTTCCTCCGGGCTCCCACCCGCTATTTTCCGCAAACCGCCCCCCCCCAAGAGGAAACATCAAAGACAGGGACGTCTTCTCTGAAGCGGCTGACCTCTCCCGCCCCGTCTCGCCGCCTCGCCTCGCTTCCCCGGCTATTGGCTGGCGGGGAGAATTCTGGATTCCTCCTCTAGTCTGCTTTGCCCCAGGCGGTGGTCTCCATGGCAACGCGGCTGCATCCCCCCCCCCCAAATCCCCAGGAAGGGGGCTTGGAAGAGGCAGGGATGGGGGAGCAGGGAGGGGATTAATCCTCCTCCTGCGACCTCCCCCCGCCTGCCCATTAGGATCAGCCCCCCTGGACGGGGCAAAAACTTTGACCTTCCCTTTGATCTGGAAGTTAGGAACGCGCAGGGGGTCTCTGGAAGCTCACTGCTGCTCTCTGGTGGCCAGAGGGGGGCATGGCGGCCTCTGGCGGAAAGCAGCACCCAAATATGAGTCTTCGCTCGCGTCCGCACGCCCCACTCCAAGAGTTCTCTCCCCCCCACCCCGAAGGATCCTGGGAAGTGTGGTTTGCCAGGGATGCTGGGGGTCGCGGCTCTGTGAGGGGTGGGCTAGAGTTCCTGGGATGCTCTGGAGAGACCCGGGGAGCCCTTGTGGCTGGCAGCCCTCTCCGCCTCCTCCTCCGTGAATCTGCCTAACCCTCTGTTAAAGCCACCCAGGTTGGTGCCTCCAGTGGGAGGGAGTTCCGCAGTTTAACCCTGTGCTGCGTGAAAAGGGGACTTTCTTTTATCCATCTGGAATCTGCCAACATCCAGCTTCCATGGATGTCCACCAGTTCGAGTGTTAGGAGAGAGGGAGGAAAACTTCTCTCTGTCCCCTTTCTCCA